GGAGATAGAACACATTATCTTATCGGAGATAGAACACATTATCTTATCGGAGATAGAACACATAATCTTATCGGATATAGAACACATTATCTTATCGGAGATAGAACACATAATCTTATCGGATATAGAACACATTATCTTATCGGAGATAGAACACATAATCTTAGATTTATTGTCTTTCTGTTTTTCTTATATTCCTCCATTTCATTTTCAGCCACAGTTCATAGTTATTCTATAGGAGTTATTAAGATTTGGTCATTAATGTCTAAGTTTACTGTTTGGCCACTAAAATATCAGACTTGCTAGTTTTGTATGATGGTCGAGCAGTTGTCAACATTTTTATTGATTTATCAATGTTTTAGGCACTGTTCTCGCTCGTGTTTGGTTTTTCCTTCTGTTGACGAGTTTGTATAAGTACACAGTTGGATATTCGAATGTCACGCACGAATGTGGTCTGTGGCCGCTGTTATGTAACAAAACTATAGCATGAGAAAACTACATCAGCTGAAACACTTCTCATTCATAAATTCTATCTAATGGAGCATTATATGATATCAGCTCCACCAGGTGGCACTCTGTTAAGATACTAGGATTAATAATGGCTACTATAGCTCAAACCTGGTCACGTGGCCTAATACACTTTATATTACGAAGATAGTTGACTTCAGCTCAAACCGTTACACTTACTTTAAAAAGAGAACAAATACACAAGAAACTGTAGTAGTTCATTTTGATAGAGACATCTAACGGTAAATCAACCAAACTTCTGATAATTGTATGTAAGAACGTTAATTAAGGGGAAACGAACACTGGAAGTGGCAATAAATAAAAAACACACAAACAATGAAAGATGGACCTTACCGATGCTGTACGTTTTGGTACAGTTGTCGAAGCTACGGTCCGTGACGTCAAACTGTGCCAGCAACAATTTATCAGTTACTTGAAACTCTTTCCACAACAACAGAACGTTGTCCGCTGTGTATTGAACTGTGATGACAAATAACATATTGTTAGAACGTTGTCCGCTGTGTATAGAACTGTGATGACAAATAACATATTGTTAGAACGTTGTCCGCTATGTACAGAACTGTGATGATAAACAACATATTGTTAGAACGTTGTCCGCTGTGTATTGCTATGTTATTTGTCATCACAGTTGTTCAATACACAGCGGACAACGTTCTAACACTATGTTATTTATCATCACAGTTCAATACACAGCGGACAACGTTCTAACAATATGTTATTTGTCATCACAGTTCAATACACAGCGGACAACGTTCTAACAACCACCACAGTCTAGTAACTGACAACGTGTTAACAATGTGACGTATGTTGTTTATCACCACAGTCTAGTAACTAACAACGTGTTAACAATGTGACGTAAGTTAATTATCACCACCCTTTAGTAGTTAACCATGTGACGTAAGTCACTTATTGCCATAGGCTTTCTGACAATACATTATTTGTTAATGCACACATCGGACAACGTTCTAACAATATGTTATTTTAGTTCAATACACAGCGGACAACGTTCTAACAATATGTTGTTTGTCATCACAGTTCTATACACAGCGGACAACGTTCTAACACTATGTTATTTGTCATCACAAAATAACATACGTCACATTGTTAACATATTGCCAGTTACTAGACTGTGGTGATAAATAACATACGTCACATTGTTAACATATTGCCAGTTACTAGACTGTGGTGATAAACAACATACGTCACATTGTTAACACATTGTCAGTTACTAGACCGTGGTGATAAACAACATACGTCACATTGTTTACACGTTGTCAATTACTAGACTGTGGTGATAAATAACATACGTCACATTGTTAACATGTTGCCAGTTACTAGACTGTGGTGATAAACAACATACGTCACATTGTTAACACATTGTCAGTACTAGACTGTGGTGATAAACAACACACGTCACATTGTTTACACGTTGTCAATTACTAGACTGTGGTGATAAATAACATATCATAGAAGTGATTTGTATACACGTATCTTGTGTAGCTTTTCAAGATGGTGATTCCTCGGACTATGTTGCACGGTTGTCTGGGGAACGTGAACGACTTTTGCCATTGGCCTGTTATAAAATGTCGCACATTATTTACAATGGCTGGATTGAGAATTATTGTAGGTCTTTTTCGGGATGGTCCTGGTTGCTTATGTTGATACATATTCCTTTACTTTCAAATGCCATTAAGACAAAAGATATCTTAGAAATTCTAAATTCCTGATCCTTATAATATTTTACGTCGGAAAGGGTTTCTACATACCCTTCCAAAAGACGATCAGTTTTCAATGATGTCACTCTACCTACGAAACCCCAAATGATGTTAAAATGTAGTTCTGATACATGCCGTTTCACCGTTACTTTATATCACGCACTAATTTGACTGAGTTAACATCCGGGAACTGACTCAAGAAAGTAAAAATTTCTCTCAATGAATCTTATGATGTAGTTTACAACAGTAAAAACACAACATCTTCTCAATGAATCTTATGATGTAGTTTACAACAATAAAAACACAACATCTTCTCAGTGAATCTTATGATCTAGTTTACAACAGTAAAAACACAACATCTTCTCAATGAATCTTATGATGTAGTTTACAACAGTAAAAACACAACATCGTCTTAATGAATCTTATGATGTAGTTTACAACAGTAAACACACAACATCTTCTCAATGAATCTTATGATGTAGTTTACAACAGTAAAAATACAACATCTTCTCAATGAATCTTATGATGTAGTTTACAACATCTTCTCAATGAATCTTATGATGTAGTTTACAACATCTTCTCAATGAATCTTATGATGTAGTTTACAACAGTAAAAACACAACATCTTCTCATTGAATCTTATGATGTAGTTTACAACATCTTCTCAATGAATCTTATGATGTAGTTTACAACATCTTCTCAATGAATCTTATGATGTAGTTTACAACATCTTCTCAATGAATCTTATGATGTAGTTTACAACAATAAAAACACAACATCTTCTCAATGAATCTTATGATGTAGTTTACAACATCTTCTCAATGAATCTTATGATGTAGTTTACATCAGTAAAAACACAACATCTTTTCAGATAGTTACTTCACTTCTTCCAAGATGAGCTCCAACAACTGATCATTTTTAAAAACTTTATGAGTGACAAGTTAGTTATAAATTTCGGATTTAATTTAAAATTAGCAGCAACAATATTAGTAGAATTGTTCCTTTTTTGATAAGGAGGCAGTATTCGTTTTGTAGATAATTTTGTAAAACGTGGAATACATTAAACTTACATGTTTAAACTGATTGTGTTGAAATCATCAGCTATATTACTTACGGCTCATTATCTTGATGCTACAATCTTGAACATCATGAGGATAAGATCCAAGGTTCATCTCACAACTTAACGTGAGAGACATTCTGGAAAAAAAAAACGAACATAATTATAAAACTTCCATGAACATGAGAACATCGAAAATTAGTGTGTAAAAAGTTATACGACTCACGAACCTGGAGACTGTAAGAACTTGGTGTGAATAAATTCTTTTAACTTCGTAAACCTGGTAATATTAAAATTTTGTGTGAATACAGCAGCAGTAAGATATGGTGTGAAGAAACTGGGATGACATTATGAACCTGGCAACAGTAACTGATGGTGTGAAGAAACTGGGATGACATTATGAACCTGGCAACAGTAAAAGATGTTGTGAAGAAACTGGGATGACATTATGAACATGGCAACAGTAGAAGTTAGTGAGAAGGAACCTGAAATGACATTATGAACCTGGCAACTGTAAATGATGGTGTGAAGAAACTGGGATGACATTATGAACCTGGCAACTGTAGAAGTTAGTGAAAAGGAACCTGAGATGACATTATGAACATGGCAACTGTAGAAGTTAGTGAGAAGAAACTGAGATGACATTATGAACCTGGCAACTGTAGAAGTTAGTGAGAAGGAACCTGAGATGACATTATGAACCTGGCAACTGTAGAAGTTAGTGAGAAGAAACTGAGATGACATTATGAACCTGGCAAC